GTGACCAGAGCCTTATCCCCATCGCCGCCATTCATAAACCCAAAGTTAGTTCCGCCGAAAAACATGTAGAAATTGATGGACGCGTTGGCATTGAATACCACATCCGTTACCTCCTTCTCAAACTTCTTGACGTCGTAGTGGGCGTGACCGCTACCCCAGTCGTCAAACCAGCCTGGCCAAAACTCTGATACGTATAGGGGTTTATTAGGTTGTGCTTGGCGTAATTCAGTTAAATATTTCAATGAATCTTGGTTAAAATTAGCGGTCTCTAAAACGCCTGAAAATAAAAAAATGATTAAGCATGTTTGTCCATTGATAAGTTATATAAAACTATAATGTATTATTAATTGTATATTATTAAGATTTAAATGACAAGTATTGGAAGTAAATTAAATATTATTCAAATTTTCCTTATTTACAACCTATCATACCATACATAATAAGATGGTAACTTAATTAGAATAACCCCCACTAAACCCTACCCCAAAAATAACAAACCTTTTTGAATAGTCTTAACGGCCTGTGCGGGTGAGTCAAAGGGGTCGCAGTTAGTCAACAACTCTTTGAACCCACTCTTATCGATGGTATTCTTCATGAGATCGAAGTACTCCTGAGCCTCAGGGGAACGGATGCCTCGGAACTCATTCTCAAACTGCAGGGCTATAATGGGACCGCCTTTTTGGAACTGGAACTCATCGATAAGGGCTAAAACCTTTTTGAAATAGGTTTCCACAGCGTTTAGATATGGCTTGTAGTTGGAGTGCAACTTCATGTTAGGGTCCCGGAGCAACCATCCGGGAAAGCCTCCAAACTCCCACTCGGCGTTGATGTAGGGGCCGATCCGGATCCAGAAGAACATATCGGCCTCTTTTACGGCTTTGAGGAACTCTCGCAGGTTTCGGAATCCGGTCTCGAAGTCAAATTGACCAGGGATGTCCTCGTGTATGTTCCAGGCCACGTATGACTGCACCTGTATTGTAGAAAATGTTTAGCTTTATAATTATTAATTTAAATATAATTTTAATAGAGTTTATAAATGTTATGCGAATTAATTGATAACTTTGGATGAAATAATGAATGTTGAAATAATATTTACAATATTTATTTACTTAATATATACTGTATATGCCATATACAGTCTGTATAATATTATTATAAAGTAAATTTCATTTTGTGCAATATGCACAAATTAAATGTAAGTTGCATAACAAAAAATAATTTTTATCTTATCAGACTTTTACCTTATTTACCATAATTTTTTTTATAATAGATAATTTATTAAATAACCTTAATAATTTTTATGTTCTATATATTTGAATATAAGAACATTTTTGATGTCAATTACTGATTAGGTTCACTTTTAATTAAAAAGTTAAATCAATATCGATAAATAATTTATAATAAAAATATTCTTTAAATATAAATACCGTATTAAGTCCGGCGGCCCTGAACTTCAACAGCCTGTCCTTCCAATACTGTGCCGGTAATCGGAAGTAATGTAAAGAACCGCTAAATAAAGTGATTTGTTTGCCATTCAGAGTGAATTGCTCGGTATTGGCTCCCAGACCCGATTTGATACCACCGGACGTGTAGTACTCGTAGTTTGTCTGTTCGGCACCATTACTTTGGCCGTTAAAATACACGACAAAAGCTAAACACAAAATTAAATATAATTTCATTTTTATGTCTTAAGAATTATTAAGAATCTAAAATAATTGGGACTTCCTATCAAATTGATTGCGGTTTTTATAGCAAAATGTCAAATGTTTAAATTCACATAATGTTAACCTAACCTTGTACCTAATATGAACCATTATCTGATTTTATTGCTCAATATACCTGCAGATTATTATTAAAGTAAGTTGTTTATAATTTTCCACTTTGTTAACGAATTGAAATTCATATCATAATATACTGTTCGCACATTTTATCATTCAAATATCCTATTTCCAATTTATTAGGAAAAAACACCGAGGGGTAATTTCTTATTATTTATGGAGAATTTTAAATGATTATAAAACTTACTAAAAATATATATAATATTTTGCGGAATTGTTTTTAAGATATTAAATATTTTATATTTTAGATAACGATTAAATTGTTACCAAATCCTGTAATGTATTAATTACTATGTTTTGAGTAGTCCTTCATTGTACACAGTATTAATTTCGATAATATTAAATTACGACAATCGTTATGATTATTATAAAGTTTATTGAAATAAAATATTAAAATTTTCTATAATAGAGAATATATTGAATATAGAAAATTGCATGTAATGTCTATAAAACTTGATATATTATATAATATTAAATACTAATTTGTTTGCATGAAAATACTGATAAGAAAAGCGACCAAATTAGCGAACAAAACCATTTGGTGGGGAATGGCGTGCGAATGGCTCGCAACACCTTTCACCTCTTTGGTGGGCGTGGGAGGGGGCGCGGGGTCTACGTGTATGGGCGGCACAAACTTCATGGTATCGCTGATCCAATCGATAAACATTGAAACTCTTGTAAAGTACAGAAAACCTGCCGAACAAAGGCCTAAATCTTTATCGTCGGGATCACTGCCACCGGCTATGGCTATGACGACCGCCCGGTTGCCATCCAATTGCACTAATGGTGAGCCGGAGTCGCCCTGAGAGAGGGGACAGGAGTTCAGTCAGTAGTGAATAAGTGGGAGGGGAGGGGAGGGGCAGATTACTTACATTACAAATGCTATGCTCATTCTCAGTGGCGCACATGTTTTCCGGCACTTTATCGTATTTGATTTGATCCATGCACTTCTGGTGTCCCATGATTGTGATCCGGGTCTTTCTGAGCACATCCGACTGGATCTTGGCGTAGGCATCCACTGCGCCGAACCCGGAAAACAGGGCGTCCTCATCGTTCTCGTTCACAATGTCTTTGGTGGGCATACAGGCGCTGTTAATGGTGTACACCTGGCCGTCGAACGCGGGTTTGACGGGTTCGGACAGTTTGATGAGTCCGATGT